TAAGCTTACCGAAGTTGTCCTGTCCTTCTTGGATGTTAGCAGTGACAATATTTTCTTCAAGGTTATCATATATTGACACTTCCTCATTCCATGGCATGTTATATTTAAGAGCATTGTGAAAACACAAAGAGTGATGTTCCCCAGGGACCACTTGTATGTGACCGAGAGCCTTTACCTTAGACCCTGTGCAGAATGTGGATGACTGTCTAATTTGAGAATGCAATTCAGTGAGACAAACACACACACATACACACGTCACTTTTCTTTTGGTGTAGTAAGACATGCTCACGGAAAGCTGCCTAGAGGAGGGAAAGTTTCATTTAGTTCACACTTCCAGGTCACAGTCCATCACGGAGGGAAGTCAGGGCCAGAACTTGAAGCAGAAACATTGGGGAACACTGCTTACTGGCTCATGCTCAGCTGCCTTTCTTACACAGGACTGCCTTATCTAGGGATGGGGCCACCTACTGCAGGCTGGGACCTCCTAAATTAATGAATAATAAAGACAATACCACTGTGTTGGTTAGTTAGTTTTGTTTTGTTTTTTTGGCATATACCAGAGTCGTCTGGGAAGAGGGAACCTCAATTGAGAAAATGTCTCCACCAGACTGGCCTATATTCAAGACTGTGGGGGCATTTTCTTGACTAATGATTAATGTAAAATGTATGAAAGCAGGCTGAGCAAGCCATAGGGAGCAAGCCTGTAAACAGCATTCCTCCACAGCCTCTGCTTCAGTTCCTGCCTCTGGATTCCCTCCTTGAGTTTCTGCGTTGGTGGTCCTCAATGACGGACTCGAAGCTGAAAGATGAAATAAACCCTTTGCACCCCCAGTAGCTTTGGGTCTTTTTCTTTATCACAACAATATAAAGAAAACTGGGACACACACCCTGTTCCAGACCTACCCACAGGTCCATCTGATCTACCTAATACCGCAACTGAAGCTTTTACATGATTCAAGCCTGTGTCAAGTTCATTATTAAAGCCGACTAGGGCACACTATACATATGTATATGCACAAATCCTTGAGAAATGAGTTTTTTAAGCAAAGAAAATTGTGATATAAGAATAAAATTAATATTTCATGAGTAGAAACAACGATTTTGTTGCACACTAGGCATTTACCTAACGTGCTTATATTATACATATATTTCATATATATTAGTCATGTTCTTACATACTCCTCACACTAATCCTAATGAGCTGAGTTTCAGTACTGAGTAAAAATCAGAGTGGTAACTCTCCCAAGGTCAAAACAAGGCACATGTTCTAGAGTCTAACCCCTGTTTCCTACAAGGACACCCTCTAGAGAGACAGGAGAAAGGTGCTCCTTTTTCTGTCAGAGAAGGGAAGTAGAAGGCAAAGGTCACTAGGAAGCTCACATTTGTGCTGTGTATTTACTGAATCTAGACAGTGTGGGAAAATGCTTTTGGTTTCACATACAAAATGTGCAGTGCTGATACATGGTAATTCTCTTCATTCTATGAAATGTGTGTAGTAAAATTTCAAGGAAACCACTAACAGCATAGAGTGTGCAACAACCAAGCTGATCAAAAGGGAACTATTCAACTTCAAAAAGAAAACATGAAACCCACTTTCTAAAGGCAAGGAGAGGAGAGCACAGGAGAAAAAGAACGGTAGATTGAGTTCAGACACATTAGTAACTGTAATAAGAATATTTGGACAACATATTTAAGTTAAATCAGAGATTTTTCAATTTTAATTTTTAAATTTCAGTAATATTCTTATTATTAAACTTCTTTTAAACAATACCCAAAACGTGGTAATATAGGAAGTCTGAGAATGCAGGGGTAGAAATAAATTAACAAATGTAGATTGACATAACTGTAATCATAACAAGTTGTTGCAATAAAAAGCACTACGAATTATCACAAAGTCAGGTTTATAAACAACCATTTATTATCTTACAGTGGGCACAGGTGGAGTCTGGCATTCCACACCTGCCTCTGATGCTCAGTGCCCCATAACGTGGGCATCTGGGTGACAGCGCAAAGATGGTGGGTGGCAGCCTCACAGGGAGGCATGACTGGGGACAGACTGGCTTTGAACAGCACTGGATCATCAGCACGACTTCCTTCTTTCTGCTGCAGGCCTGAGTTGTCCCTCTTTTTGCTATCTGCTAACCAAGGACCACGTCCCACTCTCAGGCCACTCTTGTGTTAGCTCTGGGGTCCCTCGGTCTGAACAGAGCCCCTCTGTACAGCAGTTCTGTCATCCTGCTCCATCACTTTCTAACTTTGGCTTTGGGGGACAGCTGTTGAATTCTCAGCTTTAAATAGTCTCAGACAATATGTTCAACCAATGCAGATTCTGTCCCTTTCTTGGGGTTATTTGTGACACCACACAGTCTTGGGTTAAATCTAGTAAATTTACTGTCCCGGGGTATATGTGGGGTGTATACAGGGAGTGGAGAGGAAATCTTGGGGCGGGCATGTTTCAGAATCCTGCCTACTACAAAGGACGCTGTGGGCATTAGATGTGAGCTATGCCAGTGAATGGGACAGAATCTTGGTCAAGTTGCCAAGAAAATGCAAAAATGTAAATTGTGCATACATTACTAAAGTATCTTAAGGTGTTTAAATTGATATTTGTTAAAAATTATGTGAAAATAGATACCTACTATCATAGATCAATATATTTCTTCCAGCTGGAAAAAAACAATAAATACCATCGGAAAAGCACAACTGGGAAACGTGTAACACTAGAACTAAATCCAGGACCTCGGCAAAAGCAGTAGATACTCTTACTGCTGCGCCATCTCTCCAGCCCCAAGATCTTATTTCTAAAAGAGCATGTGAAGAAACTTAGCAATAAATTTAAACTTAAGTCAGATCAGTTATTGTTTGGTTAGTCCTCCAAGCTCTGCGCCACCATTGCCTTAGCACAGCTGCAGGTAGTCAGTCCCCTGTTGTCAATAACAGATTTGCGGTTAGTGTGCAGAGAACCCTTCTGTACCTTCCTGCACCAAAGACACTGGATGGAGGGGTGAAGGCTCTGTGTAGGCATCAGCTCGACGTCTCCATGTTCAATGAGTCAGTGTTGGCTTTGCTGTCAGTTTGAGGAGAGCAAACTATAGTCTTGGTCACTCCAGGACAGGTCTCATGTTCAGAAGAAGCTGACTGACAAATAATGGACTGTCTGATTTTTTTGTGTGTTTTTATTTAGTTACAGGGTTTTTGGTTTTTTGGTGCTGATACATTTCATTTTTTTAGTTTTGAGGAGGTTGTTATTGTATTGGGGTTTTGATTCGTATTTTGAGAAAGAACTTAAAGTTGAGTGGATAGGGAGGAGGAGGTGATCTGGAAGGAATTGGGGAAGGGGAAGAATATGATCAAAATATATCTAAATTTCAAAATTGTTTTAAATAATAAAGAAACATTTTAAAAAGAGAAAGGAGATGTGGCTTTGTTGGGGCAGTTGTGGCCTTGTTGGAGGAAGTGTTCCACTGGAGGTCGATTTTGAGGTTTCAGAAGCCCAAGCCAGGCCCAGCGTTGCTCCCTCAGCCTGCCGATCAGGATGTAGCTCTACTGCTCTAGCACTATGCCTGTGGCCAAGCTTCCCACCATGATGCCAGATGAGTAAACACTCTGAAACTGTAAGCTAGTCCCAAATTAAATACTTTCTTTCATATGAAAAAATTTAAACTTAGATTAAATGTGAGAATTCCTAGAAAGGTGTTATTTATCAAATTCTGTGGTTCAAAAAAAAACTTTTTCAAACATACTGGAAACTTGATTGTCATTACAGTGGTACAGAGAGGTTGGACCTTTTGTGGGGTATTTAAGTCGGAAGGGCTCTACCTTCATGGCTGAGCAAATACAGCTGTGGGGAGGAATAGTTTTGTTTTTATCAGTTTACAGCATTCAGTCTTACGTGACAGGGTGGCACAGCCAGAAACCCTTTGCCAGAAGCAGCCCTTCCCAGTCTCTGGAATCCCGAGCTGATAGATAACTATTTGTTATAAATTTCCTGGTCTGTGGTATTCTAATTTAATAGCACAGATTTGACTAGTACATCAAAGGCTTTTAAAAAGATTGTTATTTTTAATTGTGTCTGTGTGTGTGTGTTTATCTGTGTACGATCATGTGCAAGTGAGTCTGGGATGCCTTGGATGCTTGGTAAGTGTGTCCGGGTCTGGTGCTGAAGTCATAGGAAGTTGTGAACTGTCCAACATGGGTGTTGGGAGATAACCTGGGGTCCTCTGGAAGAGCAGAATATATTCTTAACCCCTGAACCATCACTTCAGCCCCAGAGTTTATTTGGAAGATCAACAAAAGTTATATTTCCTTATAAACTCTAAAACTTCCTTCAACAAGAAAGACCAGCCCAAAGTTTTAAAGCACACTCTGCAAGACTTTCAAAAAAACAGTCACTGCAAATCTGCACAAAAGTTTTTGGAATATTTTTTTAAAGGGCATATTTTCTTACTCAATATATGTACACAGCATACTTTAATAATAGAGCCAATCCAATGAAATTTCATATGAACACAGCTATAAGCCTTTAAAACAATATATGGACAAAATGATTCAAGAAGCATGTAAAAATCAGGCGAAGTCATGCATGCCTTTACTGCCAGCACTTGGAATACAGAGGTCCTGTCTCAAGAAAAGGCATATAAAAGAAATGCCATGCTCACTTCAGCAGCACACATCCTAAATCATTAAAATTAGAACAATACGGAGAAGATTAGTATGGTAAAAGAAAATGGCTCCCAAAGGGAGTGTCACTTTTGGGAGGGAGGGGTCGCCTTGTTGGAGGAAGTGTGTCACTGTGGAGGTGGGCTTTGAGGTCTTCTATGTTCAGGCTATACCCGGTGACACAGTTCACTTTATGTTGCCTGTGAATCAAGATGTAGAACTCTCAGTTCCTTCTCCAGCACCATGTCTGCCTGCACACTGCCATGTCCTGCCATGATGACAATGGACTAAACCTCTGAAAGCCACCCCAATTAAATGTTTTCCTTTATAAGAGTTGCCATAGTCATGGTGTCTCTTCACAGCAATAGAAACCATAATTAAGACAATTATCATGGCCCCTGTGCAAGGATGATATGCAAATTTGTGAGACTTTCCATATATTATATATATCATGACAAAGTTGGATTTATGGCTTATATAAGGACAGTGTAATATTGGGGAAAGATCTAAAAGTTATTCCATTAGAAGATTCAATTAAGCATCTGATATTCTTGATAGATGCAAAACAGGCATTTAAAGATGAGGGCTATGCTATCACTAAAATGATGTCATAAAATAAAAATACAATGACAACAGATATTTACAATATATCTGCAGTTCTATAACCTTATATATGCCATATGATAACTGTAATATGCATATATCATACTGATATGTGGGTGAGCTATATAAAGTCTATATTTATATATGTGTTATTTATATTCTTAAAGAAACAACAGAAGAAAAACATCAGAATGTTTATTTTGTCAGGTGATGGTTTGAGAATAATTTTTGCTGCTTTATATTTACTTTTCTATTATTTTACTAAGTTTCTGTGATGTTTATGTTTTTGGCAATGATAAGAAGAATCAGTATTTATTGAAACCCATGAGTGGAGACAGTCCTCTTGAATTCCTTTCGAGAGCAGGACTTCTCTGAACATAACACAGATAAAGAGGTGGAGATGATGGAGTTGGTCACAGAGTTGTGTATTTATCTCATAATAAATTCTAAAATCCCTTGGAAAAAGAGAAACAGTTAACACCAGAGACTTCAGTGGATGCCTTTCTCTGCTGAAAATATTCCTCAAAGGTCTGGATAAACCTGGTGTGGTGTTCATCTCTTTAATCTCAGCACTCAGGAGGCAGGGGCAGGTGAATCTTGTGAATTCGAGGTTGGCATGATTTATAGAGCAAGTTCTAGGACAGCCTGAGCTGTACATGAGACCCTGCCTCAAAAGAAACACACACACACAATAAATAGCAAAAGATGATTGGAGACAAGAAAAGGATGCCAACTTCCCAACTTTCACTTTTGTTCAAGACTGAGTTTTAATCCCTAGATGTCTAATAGGGTAAGAGAAGGATGAAAAGACACAAGACAGAAGAAAAAACAAAATTACAACTTCTCAGAAAAAGTGTGTCTTTCAATACTCAACAATTTTTCCAATTATCATTATCTACTAGAAATAGGTTAGCAACAAACATAGACATGAGCCCTTTTTAGAAATAAAATCCCTGCCACAAGCTTTGCAAATATAAATCCCTATAAGGATCATGTGGAATGGAAATGTAGTTTAACGTAATTGTGGAGAAATTGTTTTTTATCTGAGAGTATGAAATCTTAAGAAAAATACAAAACCCATTTTATAAGAAAAGGTTGACAATCTACCATAAAAATCAGGCTAATTGTCCAGGATTCAGCATAAGAAAATGAAAAGAGCCGGGTGGTGGTGGCACACACCTTTAATCCCAGCACTTGGAAGGCAGAGGTAGGCGGATCTCTGTGAGTTCGAGGCCAGCCTGGACTACAGAGTGAGTTCTAGGACAGACTCCAAAGCTACACAGAGAAACCCTGTTTCAAAAAAAAAAAAAGAAAAAGAAAAAGAAAAAGAAAAGAAAAAAGAAAGGAAGGAAGGAGGGAGGGAGGGAGGGAGGGAGGGAAGGAAGGAAGGCAGGAAGGAAGGAAGAAAGGAAGGAAATGAAAAGACAATACATAAGGTGAAAACTTTGACATAAGATTAATAAATAATATACAGATTTCACAAATCAGTAAGAAGACAATCCAAGAACCCATTAAATTTAAAAATAGGGAATGGTTATGATCAGAAAGGGAACGTTTAAAACTATGATGTCTTGAGTCAAGCAATCAGGATCAGCCCCAGGAGCTGGACTCCTTGTGGAGGATTACTGGGCAGAGCTCCCCAAGATAAGGGCAGAAGTGAAAGGAGGTGAAGGAACACAACTGGATGGAGGTGAGCTGTTCCCCAGAATATGTAAATGTCAAGACTTTAGCCACAAAGACCTCAGCTCTTTCCATGGAGTTGTAATGATGAGAAATAAGAATAATAAACATTGACTGAAGGAAGTAGTGAGAATGGGCCTCCAGGATCTCTTTGGAGAATAGCACATATCTGCACTCAGTCCCAGAAAAAGCAATTAAGGGGCTGATCAAGGAAGTTCAGCTCATCAAGGCAAAGTTTGCTTAGAGCCCTCAGTGTCTGCAAATATCTCAGTCACCCTTGTATGACATAAATCCAGTGGTTTAGTTTCAGAATATAAGTACCCTGGGAACCACCTTAGGCCCAGGTATGGATAAACAAGAAATGCTGGCCCTGCTGGTAGCCTGTTAAACTAGTTCCCCACCTAAACTCTGCTTGTCTAGCTACTTCTACCGAGCAAACCAGAAGTTTACAGTAGAAATCATTGACAGTCAAGCTTGTCTAATGACCTGCAGACATGACAAGACCACGTGCTTGATACACTTTGAAATAAACAGGGTGTAAAACAGGTGAATCCACACAGACTCTGTTGAGAAATGGACAAATGTAAATATCGGAAGGTAAGATGTAGATGACTAAGATGGTACCCTTTTGATTATGCAAGCAGTGAGGAGATGGAGGAAAGGGATATATATATATATATATATATATATATATATATATATATATATATATATATATATATATATCCACTGTTCTGTGATCCAAAACAAAATAAAATAAAAGTTATCGGGCACGGTGGCTCACACCATATTCAGGTAGCAGAAGTAGGTGGATCTCTGGGAATGGCCTGCCTAGTCTACATAACAAGTCCCAAGTAAGCCAGGGCTGCATAGTAAGCCAGTGTCTCAACAACAAAACCTGTCCTCAGTCAGCATGCCTGCCACTCTAAGCTGGTACCATCTCCACAAAATCATAAAGTACACTCCCTCGCTTTCACTGTTCTGGGTCTCCAGTGCTCTTAATATGAAGTGAGAATCCATGTTTTATAGCTATAAGTTTTCCTGTGCCCCACCCAGCCTGCAGCAGCTTATAAAATAATCACTCAGAGGCTTAATATTAATTATAATCTGTTTGGTCTATGGCTCAGGCTTCTTGCTAGCTGTCTCTTACATATTAACTCAACCCATTCTTATTAATTTATGTTTTGCCACGTGACTTCACGGCATTACCTGTTCTCTCACATCTTGCTTCTCCTGGCGGCAGCTTGGAGCGTCTTCTCCAATTCCACTTTTCTTTTCTCACTCTCTCTTAGATTTCCTGCCTGGCTCCATTCTGCCCTGCCATAGGCCAATGCAGCTTTATTTATTTGTGAATATGGGAGCAACACATATTCACAGCATACAGAAAGGCATCCCACAGCAATGTTTCTTACACTCTAGTCCTAAGCCCAGATATGGTTGCTTCCAAAACTTTCATCTACACCATGTACACTGAAACCTGCTATAGAAACATGCTGCTCTAGTCCAACTTGGTGATGCATGTTTGTATTCCCAGCTCTCAAGAGGCTGAGGCAGGAAGATGAAAAGTTCAAGGCCAGCAAGGGCAACTTAGTGAGAACCTATCTCAAAAGTAAGAAGAGAAGCTGAGATGTAGCCAAATGGCAGAATACAGAATACATGCATGAGTCCCTAGGCTTAATACTCAGTACTTCAAAACATAAAAAAGTTAAAATTAAAAATATGACAACTATTATGCTTTTAAAAACAAAGCTTGAGTATCTAGAGTCCCAGTAATGGGGTTACTAAAAGTGACTTCCATAGAAGTCCTATAGTAACACAGTTACCAAATCTGGCTATAATGGAGCCCATGCTGAAGAATGTCCAGAGAACAGAAATCATACTTAAGATCTCATTCCTAAGCATCTCTCAGCATCAATCAGGTGTTATGAAGGCAAGGAATAAGACTAGAGGGAGAGACACCAATGGTCATCTAAAACTCTGGGGTGATTTGGCCTGCTTGCTTTGGCCCTGTCTTTGTTTAGTGCCTTGGAGACTTGGGAAAAAATGGAAAATTTGAGCACTTTCCAGGTATTGCTTTTGAGGAATTTACACATATATTAATACATAAAGGCCAGAAAAGTTTTGCAAAATAATAATAATAATTAATAGAAAGGAAACTTGTATAAGTACACCATGACCTACTCTGGGAAGCCCTGAACCAAACCAGTGAGGAAAGAAGTATTAGAAGATTGTTATGGTTAGTTTTAATTGTCAACCTGACGTAACCTAGAGTTATGACATAATCACCTGGAGAGTCTTAGTGAGAGATTTGTCTACATTGGGTTGCCCTGTTAATGTCTTAGATTAATTGATGTGGAAAGACACTACCTACCATAGGTAGTACTATTCCTTAGTTAAGGGATCCTGACCTTCATAGGAGTGGATCAGTTGAGCTGAACACAAGAAAGTGAGTATGTATGCATTCATTTCTCTCTACTCATGACTGTAGATGTGAAATGACTAGCTGTTTGAAGGTCTTTGACCTCCCTAAAATGATGGAGTGTAACCTAGAAACACGGGTTGAAATAAATCCATTATCCATTAAGTTGCATTTTGTCAGGGTGTTTTATCACAACAGAAATAAACAACAACAAAGATTAAATCCAATGCAAGAACACTCTGTAAATACACTAGATGCAAAACTATTGGCTCAGAATCAAAACAAAGGCTACAGATAAGTGCTCCTCAACTTATCTGCAATTAAAAGTTGCTGTTAGGTTGGCTGTTGGTCTGAATAATTGGGGAGTTTTGCTTGGCAAGGTCTAGCTGCAGAGCCTCTCCAGTGGTCATCCTATCTCAGGCTTCTAAGTAGTGGGGTCAAATGCATGCGCTACCATTCAAACATTTCTAGCGTATTATGGACCTGTGCCTTAGCAAAAGTCTGTGGATGTACACTCGGAATTAGTATGGTGTCAAATCACAGTAAGAGTTCTACACTGCTAGTTCCAGTTGGTGTGGTTTTCTCATAGGAGCAAACCATTCATGGACTTAGCTGCCCATAGGAAGTACCATTGCAGCAGAGCCACAAAGAAGGTAGAGGATCCAAGTCTAGTGTGAGATAGATGGGTTAGCTGGTAAGCAGGAAGGTTCACTACTCACCCTGATGTCTGGCAGGCTTCAG